CATTGGCTTTTACTTGGGTGCTGGAGTTCTGATCTTAGGTCCTCGGGTCCTCAGGCTTGCACCTCTAATTCTTAAAAAAATTAAACAAAATCTCTTCTTGATAAACTCTAGCTTTGGGTAGAGATGTGGCTCAGTTGGTAGTGTTCACCCTGGCTTTTGTCTCCAGCACCTCCTACTCTATACGTGTGGCACATACCCATAATCTTATCACTCAGGAAGTGCAAAGAGAAGGGTCAGAGGTTCAAGGTCATGCACAGCTACATGACTACATGAGACCCCAACTGAAAAAGAAATAAACTCCAATTCTGCTTCATACTAAGTCCCTGAATTATTGTTATTATTATTTTGTGGCACAGGCAAGAATCCCAGTTTCAGCCAAGTTGAGGTCCCTGAAAAGAATTCCTACAGAATATAAGTATGGTGTGTGTGTTCTAGTGCCTTGTATGGAAGCCAGAGGTCACCCTTGGGTGTTGCTCTTTAGGAGTTGTTCAGCTTCTATTTGGAGAAAAGTTCTCCCATTGGCCCACAGATTAAGCGTGGCTGGCTAGACAGTGAGCTCGGAAGATCTGTCTTTGCCTCTCCAGCACTATGGGATTACAAGTGTATGCAAATGCAACTGGACATTTTTAAGATTTATTTGTTCATGTCAGCATCTGCATGTTTGTATGTGTGCCACATGTATGCCTGGTGCCCAGAAAAGAGGGTGTCAGATCTCCTAGAACTGAAGTTACAGATGGTTGGAAGCCATGTGGTGCTGGGAACTGAGCTCAGGTCCTCTGCAAGAGCAAGTGCTCTTAACTACCGAGTCATGTCTTCAGCCTGCACACCTGAAATTTTACATGGATGCTGGAGATCACATTAGGAACTCATCAACGTTTTTTTTTTTTTGTTGTTGTTGTTCTTGTTTCTTTTTTTTTTCCTTTTGTTTTTGAGACAGGGTTTCTCTGTGCAACAGTCCTAGCTGTCCTGGAACTAGCTCTAGACCAGGCTGGCCTTGAACTCACAGAGATCTGCCTCCCAAGTGCTAGGATAAAAGCATGCACTACCACCTGGCTAAAGATGTATTTATTTATTCTGTATATACAGTGTTCTGCCTGCATGTCTGCTTGCAGGCCAGGAAAGGGCATCAGATCTCACTACAGATGAACTCAGGATCTTTAGAAGAGCAGCTCGTAACTGCTGAGCCATCTCTCCAGCCCTCTCATCACCCTCTTCATTGTGCTAGAAGCTCTTTACCAAAATTGCTATCTCCTGAGCTGTTCTTGCCTTCTGTTGATTTCAACCAATGGTTGAATGGGTTGAACTTATAAGTGGCAGCTGTGGTGACAGTACAATTGCAGAAGTAGTGCCTGGGAGCCGCTTTGACATCCTCAGGAAGCACAGGCTGCAAGGCCAGCAACAGAACCACAGCAGCATAAGGAGTAGTACTTGTTATCCTATTAGCAACAGTCACAGTATCAAGAGGTGGCTGAACAGCTGGACACAAGCACAAAGACGGGTACGAGAACCGTGGAAACAGGTAAGAGACGGTAAAGAGCCTATTAGGTTGGACAGAATGCTGTAAGATTCTGAAACTGCAGGGCCTGGGGGCTGACAGAGTTCCAGAGAGCTGTTATGTGGCCGTTATCCAAGGCTAGGGAAATCTTAATAGTCTAGGCTTGAGAATCATGATATCCAATGCTGTAACAATAGCTGCTGTCAGAGGCTGGAGAATCCATGCTTCCTCGACTTAACTAACCAGAGTTCTAACTGTGGATACCTCAGGCCTGCATAGAATCCTAACATAAGAGAACCACCATCTTGCTGTCAAATGCAGAGGGATATAAAACTGCCAAAGCCAATCCTGAAAGGCTTTTCACCCACCAACATTTGTATCTGGGTAGAACAAAGGACTAAGGCCAGCTTAGTAACACAATAATCTAGAACACTTCAAATGAACTAAATTTGCTGTTACTTGAAGAGCTCCATGTAATCTTCATATATATATGAAATGGTTTTCTTCTACCATGTGGGTCCCTGGACTGAACTCAGGATGTCATGCTTGGCCAAGGCAAGCACTGTTATCCACTGAGACTTCTTGCTGGCCCTAACCTTAGTTTTAAATTACAGCTGATATCACATGTAACTAAATTTATTTAGACACAACTTAAATATTTATCGAAATCTTTAGAAGGCTTTTGCTTTTAAAATTTTCGCTCAGGGCTCAAAAAAAGGAACTACAAATAAGCAAAGGAACTGAATGAAAGGTTCAGGCATTATGCTGGCCTGCCCCTGTTACCTGGCGGAACAGGCAGTACCCTGGTTAACCCAAGGTTCCATGGGCACTAAGTCTGCACGCAGGTGCAGAGGACCCCTTTAAAAAGACAGATCCCTGCCCATTTACGCTCTCTCTTCCTCTCTGCTTCCTCGCTGTTTCCTCTCTACTCTCTCTCCCATCTATGCGTTCTCTCTGTGGCAACCGGCCATGTCGGTCAGCCATTTACCGGTTCCTTTCCTCTTCTTAGTCTCCCTACTCTGCCGGGCCTTCTAATAAACTTATAGCCAACATGTCTCATGTCTTAGCATTTCTCTTTTCTTTTTAAACGAAAGAATAACACTGAAATCTGAGGGAAAAGGAATCGACTCACACACAATTAATTGCTCCTCTGCTTGTCCCTTTCTTCTGCTGCTGCTCTCTTCTCTTTCTCTATTTCTCTGTCCCCCATCCCTGTCTCCCCACCCTTCTTGGGGGTACAGGTATATATACATGTTTACAACAATAATTCTTTTTACAATATGATGTGAGGCTTGAGTTTCTCAGCCTCAGCAAGGGAGGTAAGATTTACACACAGCTGTTTTTCTGGGATTTTGTTTTTTACTTTTTAAAAAAATATATAGTGCTGATGTCTCTACAATTTTGTTCAAATGACTGCAGAACCTGGAAAAGCTGTTGCTGCTAATTTTCCTATGCATTGTGGGGGGGTTGTGTGTAGGTGTGCCAGGCATATGAAACAGCCTGAAACTGTTGTAAGAAACATGCCAAGAATAAATTTCTCAAAAAAAATTTCTCAAAAAAAAGAAAGAAAGAAATGCAACTGGATTTTGTGCATTATCTATGCATCCTACAAATCTTCTAAATTTATTTGTTAGTTTTAATTCTGTGTGTGTGTGTGTGTGTGTGTGTGTGTGTGTGTTGTATTTGTGTGTTGTATGTGTGTGTTTTGAGGATTTTCTATATATATAAGGTCAAGCTACCTTCAAATAAATGTTTTTGCCTTTCCTTTCCAGTCTGGAGACCTTTGCTTCTTTTCATTGCCCAAATGATTGGGTCCACATAGAAGTGGTAAAACAAATGTCCTGATCTTGTTTCTAATATTAAAGGAAATTTAAAAATTTTTTCACCTCAAAAAAAAAAAAAAGCTGTTGCTGCTATTGATGCATAACATCCTGCCATTATTGGTGTGTGTGTGTGTATATATATATATTTTGAATTTTTGGAAACTTTAGCTGTGTTGTCAACTTTGGAAAAAAGTATCCCAGTTTACCGTATTGAGTTGGCATTGTACAAAAATAACAGCCATATTTGGTCTAGAAATGTTGAACTTAATTTTTTTTCCATTTGTACAGAGGTAATGCACTGTATTAAATATGTAAGGTCTTAAAAAAAAAAAAGAAGGGATATTGAGAGCTCATCCCTTGTGAAGGGATGCTCTCTTGACCTGGACACATGGGGAAGGGTCTAGGCCTGGCCCAGGCTGATGTGGCAGACTTTGAGGACCTTACCCTGCCTGGGGAGTGGAGGGGGGATGGCTAGGGGCAGGTGGGATGTTGGGAGGGAGAGGGAGAAGGGATTGACATCTGAAGCAAGCTTGTTCCTAATTTGAACTAATAAAATAAAAATTAAAAAAAAGATGCAAAAGTGATAACTAAGAAAAATTAAAATATGTAACAAATGTTTTAAGAAATAAAAAAATCCATCCTGATTGTAATGAAAAAAAAAAAAGATTTACACACAGCAATAAACTAAAACTTCTAGGAGAAACTTTTAGCATCAGTTGCTCAGGACTGTAGGCCAAAGAGAAGGCCTAAGTTTAATTTGCACAACAAAACCTGGCGCCTTCCAGTGCTCTGGCCTCAGTGGCAGAGTAAACCTTCAGAAGGTTTACTTTTCCCTGATGATGAGCAAATGGGCTGATTGTAATCTTCTCAGAGGAAACAGGAGGGAACAGTAAATCTATGAGCTAAAATCAATCTCAAGTTAATAAAACAGAAAGTTTGAGAATCTTTTAGTGCAGGGTTAGTTTAGGTTATCACTTCTCTTTCTGCCAGTGAAGTAAAGCTTATTTTTTTCTAGCCATCTAGGCAGCTATGAATCAACCACTTTGGGCCTGTCCTTGGATATCTGGGGCTTTCTTAGATGGGATGCTTTTGCCTGGGCCCTAAACACTGACCAAATGCCTGTCAATAAAGGTTGCAGGAAGGCAGATCTCTGCAGTTGCAATGGAGAGGGGAACAAGGACCTGATAGTGGGAAATAGGTCTCACACATAGCTAAGGAATGTAATCAGTAAACTAGGACCTGTAATGGAGAACAGGTTTCACACACAGCTAGGGAGTGTAATCAGTAAACTCCAAATGCATGGGAGAAATTGTGCCCAGTAAATGGTCAGATAGTGTGAACTGTGGGAAGTAAATCCCAAGGTTGTTGCAGAAGGGAATAAACTACAGGAAGAATCTACAGCAAGGAACATTCACAAGATTATAATGCCAAATACAACTTTTGTATTGGTTTATCTGTCAGAAGAATCCTTAATTCTTCTGAGTTTCTCATGAGACGATGGCTCAATAATTACTGTGTGACTTTGCAGCTTGTAGCAAATATTTGAGGTATATCTTCAATTAGGAAATGTACCAGTTGATTTTCCAATTTAAAATTTTAATGTACAGTTTGAATATAATTCTACATATAATTTCTTTCTCTTTTTCATTTATATGGTTGTAGATATGTTTCCACACAGAATGTCTTGTTCTTTTTCATTTTTTATAGATGGAGACATTTGTTCTACTACTTCCTGAACTTTCAAAAAATAAAAAAAATTGTACTTGTTAACTTACAAATGAGTAATAACTTCTTGATGTTAAAAAAAGTTTTATTTAAAAGTGTTAAAAAGAGAATGCCTTTAGTAAAAAATCACACACACACACACACACACACACACACACACACACACACACCCCACAATTCATAAATATTCAGAGCAAAGTTTTCAATATTTGATTTGGGACTATGGGATATGTGAACCTCCTGATTCTTTAAAACTGAAATTCGGGGTCCACTCAAAATTTATTGAACTGGAATCCATGAGGAAAGGGTATTTTACTGATTTTACTTTTTTTAAATTTTATGTGTAAAAAGTTCCGTGTTTTAGCTGAATGTAATGCCTGGATAGTGCCTGAGGAGGCCTGAAGGTGTTGGATCCCCTGGAACTGGAGTTGCAGATGGTAGTGAGCAGCCACTTGCGAGTTGGAAATCGGATCCAGGTACTCTGGAAGAGCAGCCCGTGTTTTAACTGTGAGCAATATCTCCAGCCCCAGGTCTGAGTTTTTAAAATTCTGGGAAAATTTCCATTTGTTCTTTGAGACAGAGTCTTACTGGCCTAGAACTTCCAGTCTTTTTCCTTCAGCTTTCCAAATGCTTGGATTAAAGACATGTGCCATGATGTCTGGCCCCAGCGACTGCTGCTGTACTGAAGTTAAAAGCTACAGGTTTAAAAGAAATACCAGGATGTAACTTCATAGGGTTCCATGTAGGTATCAAATTATACTACAATGATTTAGAAAGTCGAGTCAAACACCATAATTGTCTGTCAGGTACTCCAGGACTGCTGATGTGCTTGACAAAGCGTTAAATACTCTTTTTTCCTGCCTGGATGTTATCTTTTCCATCATGTACATTAAATGTTGATGGAAACACATAAAAGGAGTTCCAAGTTCAAGAGCAATATCAACCCAGTCCCAGATACATTTCAGTGGGGTTTCTTCATATCCAGCAAACATAGCTGGGTTTGCTAAAAGTCCCCTTGCAACCATCACACCTGCAAATTAAAGCACAACATATTTATTCATAAACGAAGAATCCATGTTTATCAGTTCAAGTAATGCAAGAGTATTTATCAAAACAAATTAATGAAATACAACAAGAAACAAGTTGATTCTGGTGCCACTGATATACTAATTGTATTTATACAACTAATTTTAAAAAGACATCTATATTAACTGTTTCTTTAAGAGACATCCATGTTGTAATAAATTGGGCCGCTTAAAGTTGAATCTATTTGCTTTCATCTAGCAACAGTTACCATAGGGCTGCTTGTTAATTATGTAAGGGGTAATGAAACCACATGGCAGTTCTAAGGCTCCTGTGGTCAATTAAAGTTCATTAACTCTCATCTCTATTCTGGTATTCTAGATGCTTTTTAAAGATAAAATGAAACAAAACAAAAATAGGCCAGATGACTTTACTGGTCACTAGATATGACTCTGGCAGCAAAATGATGCCATTGTCTCTTCTAAAATGATCTACTGTTTCTAAGGAAAAGAGCCGACAGCATTATGATAAAATACTTAGCTTAAATTAGTACAATAGGAAAATATGGCTCAGTGTGCTACACAAAATAAAATTAACATCACTCTCCCATCCTCACTAAATGATAAAAATTCCATTATTTATTTCTTACCATCTGTCCCAGACATCTGCCACACATTTTCTGCTTCTTTTAAGTTTCTTATGTCTCCGTTAGCAACTACAGGTATAGACACACTTTCTTTTATTATTTTAATGGCCTCATAGTGGACTGGTTGGTGTCTTTCTTCAATGGTTCTTCCATGAACTGTAATCCAGGACACTCCTGTTGCTTCAGCCTTCTGGCAAAGATCTATGGTTCTTGTAAGGTCATCATGGATCCTAGAATTTCAAAATTGCAGCTGTTCATAGCACACAGATTTTAATGCTAAATAACTAAGATACTTCATCGGCTACATTATTTAGCTTCACCATATTGTACTATCACTTCATGCCACTATTAATGAGGTTTTGCTGAGTGATCATTCCCATTCAAGACCTCGGCTGTAGTTATTTGACTATAGAAACAATACAGTGACAAATGTCTTTCCCTGCCTCACTGTTTTTCCTTATTAGCTCCGAGAAATCAAGAGTCATCAGCACACTGCCACAGAGGAACACCAAGAGGTTATCCTCATGCATGATGTGCATGCCTCTCAAATCAGAATCTTAGTTAAATCTTAGTGCAAATATCTTTCCTGTTTTCTAGTTGGTGCCAGAGATGTTTCTTACCATTAGCTAAATAGTATCTTGAGAAAGTTGAGGGGTTAGTGAGGTCTTTTTATTAGGAATATATTATTTTGTTAATAAATATGATTACAGGATTATAATTTAAGAATGGGGTTTATGTTTGTTTGCTAGATAAACATCTTTCAATATTTCCACATATAAGTATCTAATTTATTTAGGATACACACCAGATCACTAGACAACAGGAATATTTTTAAACTTCCCAAGTAATATAACAACTTGTTAGTAGATTGAAATATTGTGTTTACCTTATCTTAATTGAAACTGAAAATCTAGGATTTTCCACTTGATTTCTTACTTGTTTCACCATATCTTGAACAAGCTCTGGCTTGTTTATTAAGCAAGCTCCATAACCTTCTGCCATTGCCCACCTCGATAAAGCAAACACAACAGGTAGATTGTAAACACCTATAAGGGAAGATAAAACTCTAATGTATGGTATCAATCTTTTCTCTATCTGATGATCTGGAATGAAGCAGACATTTACAGTTCATGGATCTATAGTAGGCTAGTTAGCTTAGTTGGCTAGACTGTAGTCCTAAATAAATTCCATAGATCAACATTTCTAAATGGGTCCATGAAATCAGAAAAATACTTGCCTAGACTAGAAAGTAATAGAAATGGTTTTTCATTAGCTAAGTGAGAGTATTAAATTAGGATTTACCCAACCAAAACAGATTATGTGTTCACATTAACTGCAATTACTTCACATTTTTAAAATTCCAAATTTGATGATTATTGTGCATAACAAGAGGTTTGTTTTATCAGTCTCAAGAGTAGAAAGGTATTTTTGGCTCACAGCATTCCAACACTACTAAACAGAGAATCTAATTCTCCTAATGAGTATACAAATGTCTAATCTGATTTGACTCACGCTACATTTAAAACTGTGATTTATTCTTTGGGCATATTTTGGCGATTGGCAGATAACCTAGCATAGAGCCAGAACAGTAGTCTACTAAGTATATCCCATTCAAACTCAGTTACTTCAGTCTAATCAAGTAGCTGTGATACCGAAAGGAAAAAGTAACTATAGTAAGGTAATTAATTAGGAGAAAGCCAATGGTATGTCTTAAATCACACAAAATCAGCTTTTAGTGTATCTGACATGGCAGTAAAAACACATTTCTGGGATTGTAGTAGACATTAGATTCTCAAAGAATTAGTTACAGATGAGGTTAAAGCTGTTTTATCAGCTTGACACAAACTTGTCATCTGGGAACAGGGAACCTCGACTGAAGAACTGGCTCTATCAGATTGTTCTGTGGGCATCTCTGTGGGACATTTTCTTGTTTAATGATCAACGTGCAAAGGCCCAGCCTACTGTGGGCTATGCAACTCCTGGGGAGTTAGGTACTCTGGGTTGTAGAAGAAAACATGTTGAGTGTGATGGTTTGAATGAGAATGGACCCCCAAAAGCTCATATATTTGAATGCTTGGTCCCCAGTTAGTGGAACAGTTTGAGAAGGAATAGGAAGTGTGGCATGTCATTGGAGGCAGGCTTTGAGGTTTCAAAAGCCTACTCCATTTCTAGTTACCTCTTTGTGCCTTATGCTGTTAGATGAGATGAAAGCTCTCAGCTGCTGGTTTAACACCACATCTTTCAGCCTGTTGCCATGCTCCTTACCAGGACGGTCATTACTCACCCACTAAAACTGTAAGCCCCCAACATACTCTTTTATATGTTGCCTCTGTCATGATGTTTTTGTCACAAAAATAGAAAAGTAATTAAAACACAACTTGGTATCAAAAGTGTGGTACTGCTGTGAAAGGCCTGTTCATGCTGTTCTTTATAGAAATGTGGAAGATTTTGGGACTTTGGAAAAGTGGCAGAATGCTGTAAGTAGAGCTTATCAGACCATCATAGCAACAGCCTGGAATACAGCGGTGCTGAGAGCAATGCAGATTATAGAGTCAAAGAGGGTTCACAGACTGTGGCTACTTTTCACCTTTGTCCTAAGAATCTGCCTGGGTCTAAACTAAAGGGTCTTTGATTAATGTTGTTGGCAGAGATTTCAAGACCAACTAGTACTGACACTCTGGCTTTAGTCATTAGTAATTTAATCACTAGAGATAACTCTTATGCAGATCCACAGAGAAAAAGAACAAGCAGGGCAGGAAGAAATACAAAATCTACACTTTAAAGAGAAAAGGAGTGCTGGGAAATTTAATGTTGGAGCCAAGGCTGTGCTGAAAGAGATGAGGAGGGCAGAGATATTAGATGGAATAAAGGGAACAGTACTTTCTGTGGTAGACTCCACACAGCTAATCCTGCATCTTGTGAAAGGAAAAGGCCTAAGAAAATTTCTGTACCTAAAAAAAACAACTGCAGCTCAAAGATTATGCAAATGTACTTCAAAAAGGGAGCCAAATTCCATCTCAAGAAGGCCACAGGACTTGGCAACTTCCGCCATGTGGTTCTTGCTTCAGTAGCATGAAGGATTTGAGAGAAAGGGAACTGTGGAGACTTGCTCTGTAGTTAAGGCGAGCCTCTGAAGCCAGGCATATGGCAGGGGAGTCCCTGCATGGAGGCTCTGAGAAGCCATCGTGTGAAGTTGTAAAAATGAAGTCTGGATTGGGATGGAGATGCCACAGCATGTCTGCCAGGGAGAGCAGCACACATGGAGTGGACCAGCCCCAAAGAGAGAAGAGCATTGCAGTCAGCAAAGGTAGAAAGGGAGCCATCTAAGTTCTTTGATATTGGCCATAGAAGTACAGAATTTGGAGTTTGCCCTGCTGGATTTTAGTCTGTTTTGGTCCTGTATTTCCTCACTATGCTCCCTTTCCTCTCTTTTGAAATGATAATGTATATTCTGTGCCATTGTATGTTGGAAGTGTGCAATTTGCTTTATGACTTATAGGAGGTTACAATTAAGAGACTGCCTTGAGTCTCAGAAGAGAATTTTAGCTTTTGAACAGTTTTGAGACTGTGACAGTTTTCAAGTTGCACTAACTGCATTTTTTGCATCATGATATAGATATAAGCCTATGGGGGGCAGGTAGTAGAATATGGTGATTTGAAGGAGAATGGCCCCATAGTTCATACGTTTGAACGGTTGGTTCTCCAGCTGGTGGAAATATTTGGGAAGGACTAGGAGGAACAGCCTTGTTGAAGGAGGTGTGTAACTGGTGGTGTGCTTTGAGGCATTCCCAGTTAGCTCTCCCTGCCTCATGGTTGTATCTAGGAAGAAACTCTCAGCTCCCTCTTCAGGGTTATACCTACTCACCTGCTGCCACACTTCCTGCTTATCCTCTGAATCTGTGAGTCCCTAATAAACTCTTTCTTGTACAAATTGCTTTGGTCATGGTATTTGTTATGGCAATAGAAAAGTAACTAGTTAATGCCAGAAAGCAAACCAGCAAGAAGTGTTACTCCATGGTCTCTGCCTCCAGGTACATTCTTTGTCTTCCCTCAGTCCTGGAGTGTGACTTGGGAGTTGTAAACTGAAAGAAACCCTTTCCTACCCAAGCTGCTTTTGGTCATAGTGTTTAACAGAACTAAAAAAGAAACAAACAAAAAAACTAATGATAGCTAGTGATGAGGAAGAAAATCACTAGTCAAGAGTCTATAAATCATTTTAGCCATCATAAAAGACCTTTGAAGTCATGTTCCTAAATATGGAGTTGGTTCTCTCCTCCATCAGGTGTGTTCTGGGGAAGGAGTGTGTGTGTGTGTGTGTGTGTGTGTGTATGCTTGCGTGTGTGGGGTAAGACTGTGTGCACACATGTCAGAGGACAACTCTGTGGAGTTGGTTCTCTCCTCCATCACATGGGTTCCAGGGAAGGAACTCAAATTGTCCTTCTTAACTTTTGGAAAACTAGAAAGATATTTTACTGTGTTCCCATACGTTTTTTTTTTTTTTTTTTTCTCTAATTTCGTTGACCTTTACCTCTGAGGGCAACCACAGTTAATATCTATTCCGTTTGCATAGGGGCAGACTATTTGAGCAGCATCAGATAAAATTCTTGCATCATTAGCAGCAAACTGAACAATCAATGGGCAATCACCTGTTTAAAAAAAGACAGTCCAACATTAAACTTTATAGAAGAAACATTCACACAGCCAAAAAAATCAAATGACACACTGCAAAATTTATAAAATGAAAATGATTCCAGAATGGTAGTATCTATGTAGCTATTACATGGAAGTGAATGTAAGCATTCAACACATACTGCCATGCCTTCTGTTCTTCTTTATGTCCTGGGAAATGCAGTCAGCTGTATTCTCTTCCATTTAGTGTCATTTCCTTCTATATGGATGGCCTATATACTGTTGTGTAAGCTGTATTTGATAAATCTATTCCTACATAATTACCTAGAAGTGTAACTGTTAAGAAAGCATTTAATACTGCCTAGGTATTTAACATAGATACTATTAAACTATCTTCTAAGAGTTTATAGATGCACATGAATATTCACAATCTTTGTATATCTTTATTTGTATTTTTCACATTTTCCAATTTTTAATTGGTCCTTGTTTCTTTTATTATTTACTTACTTATTTAAGACAGGGTTTCAGCAGAGCATTGGTGGTGCACACCTTTAATCTCAGCACTCAGGAGGCAGAGGCAGGAGGATCTCTGGGAGTTCAAGGCCAGCCTGGTCTATAGAGCGAGTTCCAGGACAATCTTCAAAGCAATACAGAGAAACCATGTCTCACATAACCAAAAAGACAGGGTTTCATTCTGTTTTCCTGGCTGGCCTGGAATTCACTATGTAGACCAGGCTGGCTTCAAACTCCAGAGTTTGAGAGCTGCCTGGCCCTGTGTTCCAAGTACTGAGATTAAAAGCGTTTCTGAGCTGGGCATTGGTGGCACATGCCTTTAATCCCAGCACTTGAAAGGCAGAGGCAGATCTCTGCAGATCTCTGAGAGTACGAGGCCAGCCTGGTCTCCAGAGCGAGTGTCAGGATAGGCTCCAAAGCTACACAGAGAAACCCTGTCTCGAAAAACCAAAAAAAAAAACCCCAAAAACAAAAAACAAAACAAAAAAGAAAAACAAAAACAAAAAACCCCAGCATTTCTATGGTACCTAGCTGTGTTTCAATTTTTAATTTTTCTTAAAAAAGAGATAAATTTAACTTGTCTATTACATGTGTTTACACACACACACACACACACACACACACACACACACACACACACACACTTTTAGTTCTGTTTATCTTAAAATACATTTCTATACTTATATGGAGAAGTTTAAAATCTAGGCTAGCCAAATATATTGGCTTTCCTAGGTCTTAAATAACATACTTTTCACATATTTTTAAAATTCTGGAATGATGCATTTTAACATTTCAAAAGCATTTTTGAAATTCAAGAGATGTTTATAAAAGGTACATTTCGGGACATTACCTCCTTTGCACTGATTACAGATTTCTATAGCAACTCATTTGTCCGGGAAATGATGAGAATGAACATTCTTTTATTCTTCATTGGCATGTGGGGTGCATTCCCTGGTTGGTACCTTAGTTACAGAATTCTATTTTAACAAACACTTATTAATCTAATATATTTCAATACCACTAGCAGCTGAATATAAAAATCAACCTATTTCTATAGTTCATGCCTTCTAGGAACCTATAATTTAGTGGGAGAGAGCCCTGTAAGAAGAAAACAAAATAGTAGGAACAAGTACAATAACAGAGCCTGTGCTTATGAGTGAGGATAAGGGTGCACAGTGATCAAGGAAGGCGGTTCCTTGGTTACAAGCTCGGAATGGTGGATTAGGGACCATGAGCTATAGTTTGCCAGGTTGTGTATAAGAAAGAGATAGGAGAGAAAGAGAGAGAAAGAGAGAAAGAGATAGATAGATAGATATTGATTCTAGCCTCGAGATTGGTGATTCTCAAATGTCAGCAAGATGAGAGTACTTATATGGCTTTTCAAAACATAAAGAGGTTTTAATATGGAAGGCCTAGAGTGGACTCTGGAAACATTCATTTTCAACAAGTTTCCAATAATGAGTCACCTCTGACCTGGGACTTATATTGAAGCCACTATTTTAAGCAATGGATATTATAAAATGGACTATAAGCAAGAAAGGGATATGATCAAATTTGTATCTTAAACAAATTTTTATCTTGGGCTATTAGAGGATAGTCTGAATGAGAAAAGACTACAGACAACAAGACAGGTGACCTCAAGAATGGCTGACTAGGGCTGGAGAGATGGCTCAGAGGGCCTGGAGAGATGGCTCTGAGGTTAAGAGCACTGGCTGTTCTTCCAGAGGTCCTGAGTTCAATTCCCAGCAACCACATGGTGGCTCACAACCATCCATTATGAGATCTGGTGCCCTCTACTTGTGTGCAGATATACATGGAAGCAGAATGTTGTATACATAATAAATAAATTAAAAAAAAAAAAAGAATGACTGACTAGAGCTGGGTGGTGTTGGTGGCACATGCCTTTAATCCCAGCACTCGGGAGGCAGAGGCAGGCGGATCTCTGTGAGTTGGAGACTAGGGTGGTCTACAAGAGCTAGTTCTAGGACAGCCTCCAAAGCCACAGAGAAACCCCGTCTCAACACCCCCCCCAAAAAATGGCTGACTTTACATATTGATAGGTTATTGTGTAAAAGATATCCATATTGAGATTTTTTTTTTAAAACACTGAAGGCACGCATAATCTCTGAATGTTTCATCTAATTATATAAAATAGTTGAGTGTATACACACACACATACACACACAGTTTTTTTTTTCTACAAAGTCAGCAAACTACAGGTTTTACATACCTTGGTTTGTGGTAAATTCACTGTCTCTTGCTTTTATAGATCTGACAAAATCAGCAGCAACTATCATTGGTGTATAACACAGATCGCAAGAGTATTTTCTTACTAGTGTTCTAAAAGCCAACCTGTGAAACATATAAAACTTTAATTAATTATGAATTTAGAAAACCCTTGAAGCATATGCATTTGCAAGTTCAATTTAATTTATTATTATTATTTGCTTTTTTGAGACAGGAATTTTTTTGTGTAATAGCCCTGGCCATCTTGGAACTCACTCTGTAGACCAGGCTGGCCTCAAACTCACAGAGATTCATCTGCCTCTGTCTCCCGAGTGCTGGAATTAAAGGTATGCACCACTACCGCCCAGCTAATTTAGTTAATTATTAAGCATTTATTAGAGAAACTTTTTATTGAATGAAAGAGATATACTTTCACCCAGTTCACCTGCTATGTATGATCAAAATCCTTGGTACTTGTATTTTGAGACAGTCACTACATAGCTCAGGTTGCCCTGGAACTCACTCTGCCTCCTAGGAATAAGGGCATGCACCATCCACGCAGGATAAAACCTCAAAACTATTTATAAAACAATTATAGGAAAATTATAAAAGAGAGAGGAAGGGTAGCAGGGCTAGTAGCCTTCAAGTCCCATGAATTTTCTTTCTGCTTTAAATACACAAGACTTGGAAACTGAAGTAGCTGGTCAAGCTGTGAGTGAAGACAAAAAAGTCTTTAGCCTTATAAAGGATCAGGAAAAGAGAAGCTTTGAAAGACTGAAAACTTAAAAATAACAATTAACACAAAATGCTATAGACTCATCTCTGTTAGGAAATGTTGGGTGGGGAGCCTAGATTTTCACTCTTCCAAGATGTCCTAACATCTCTTATCTGAAATTGTCAAAAGGTGGAAGCAAACCAACTGATGAAGAGAAACAAATGTAGTATGTACATTTAGTGGACTACCTATTTATCCTTAAATAAGGAAGGAAAGGCTGGCATATGGTATTATATAGATGAATCTTGGAATAAATATTCTTAAAATGCTAAGTGAACTAAGCTATTCTCAAAAAGACAAGTCTCAGCTACACTAGACATTTAGAATAGTCAAATCCATAGAGAAAGGAAGCAAAATAATGGTTACTAGGGGCTGGGGTGTGTGTGTGTAGGAATGAAGAATAATTGCTTAATGGGTCCAGAGATTTAAAGATCAGGCACTCAATTGTATATAATCCTGTATAGTTAAAAACCACTACTAGTAACTATTATCTTTATTTACTGGTTTTGTCTGTTTTTTTGAGATAATGTCTTAATATGTAGCCTGGCTGGCTCTGAAACTCAACGATTCTTCTGTCTTAGCTTCCTTGAGTGTTGTTCCTAAGTGTGTGCCACCATGCCTATTACATATATTTTACAACCATAAAAATCCTTTGGAAAAACCCCCACTAGTAAAAAGCAATAATTAGAATATGGGCAAAGACATGAAGAAACATTTCTTAAAAACTATGTTGATGGTTGCTGGACAGTGTGGCCCACACCTTTAATCCCAGCACTTCGGAGGCAGAGGCAGGTGGGTCTCTGTGAGTTTGAGGCCAGCCTGGTTTACAGAGCAAGTTCTAGGACAGTCAGGGCTGTTACACAGAGAAACCTTGTCTCAAAAAACAAAACAAAACAAACAAAACAAGACAAAACACAAAAAAACAAACAAACCAAAAAAACATTGATGGCAAACAGTGGCAAACACATATTTGACATCTCTAGTCACAGAGGAACTAAAAATTAAAACCATAATGACACAACTCTACTGATCTATAAAATGGTGAAAAAAATGTCATTATTAAAAGTTGGTGAGGATGAGAAACTAAATTACTTATATGGCAAACAAGTGTTTGGTCAAAGTGTGAAACTGTAATCTCCATTCGAGAAAAATTTAGTATTTAAAAAACAAAACCTAAGCATCAAATCACCCCAGGTCTGACAATTATACCACTATGCTTTGGTCCCAAGATGCATAGTCACATAAAGACCTGCACGTGTATATTTATATCCATTTAATACGTATTGTATCCTAGGACACTATCATTTTTATAGATATTAGGCTGAGTATGTAGCTCAGTTGTTACAGTGTTTGCTTAGCATTCATGAGGCCCTGGTTTTGACCCCAGCATTATTAAAGATAGTCACGGTGGCATATACCTGCAACCCCAGTACTTGGGAAATGAAGGCAGAAAGATCAGGCCTTCAGCCACTAGCAAGTTTTAGATACATGAGATTCTTGCGGGGAAATGCTTGGAGAAGTTTTCTACTTAGGGTTATAAACATACCAGTCAACTGTTAGCACCAGGACTCAATTCTAAATCATGATTCCAAAGCTAAGAGTTTGAAAGTCTTTGCAGTTGAGTGACTATCACAATACTTGAGAGGGAATTCCCAAAATTAGTATATACAAGGAAAATCAAATACTTGCTCATTAACGATTTAACAATACTTACTTTGAATACCGAACCATTGGGGCACAGATTTTTACCATTTGTCCAGATTGAAACATTTCCATTGGGTCTTTTTTTCTTTCTTGACATATTGTGATTGGTATGGAGTCACTCCTCATGTATACAAAATAGTTTTAAATCTGAAAAACACAGTTTGCAAAGAGAATATGTATTTTATTACATGAAATCCTATCATTGGACTGGTCACATAGCTCTGGTGTATGGTTTGGATGGTTGCTTAGCATTGAGCAGATTCTGAGTTTAATTCTCAGTAAAAGAAAAACAAAAAACAAACTATTATTCTAGCAGTTTCAATCACAATATTTTTCATGAGGCTTGCAGACTCAGGGTATCTTGCAAATATGGCCTCTACTTACAGGATCAATAAATGCAAAAACTGAACATGGTAGTTTTAGTGAGATAAGATATAGAAAACCTCTAGATTTTCCTTCCAGCATGTATCATGTTATGATTTTGCTTGTTACTCTTTTGCTTATTTTTTGAGACAGGTTTTTGCTATATAGCCCAGGTTAGCTTTGAACTGGCAATTCTCTTGCCTAAGCCACAGGGGTATTGAAATTACACTGGTGTGCTTCCACATCTGACCTCATGTTACTTTTCATTAATTTTCTTGGTAAATCAAGGAATCTGATTTGAATTACCTCTTATACGGTACTGTGTATGATAGCAATCTCAAATAGTTCCGGAAAGGTAGGTGGCATTAACAGATCATTTGTATTACAAAATAAACCCTGTTATTTTGGGGATGGAGAGACGGCTCAATGGTTAAGAGCATGTACTCTTCTTGCTGAGAACCTGAGTTCAGTTCCTAGCACCCAGGTTGTGATACAGCTACTTGTATTCCAGCTTCAGGGGGATCCAACGCCTCTAGCCTCTGAGGGCACTGGTACTCACATGCATATACCCGCCTACAGATACACATACACACAACTAAAACATAAGAAATCTTGATATTTTATTTCTAATTTTCGGTGAATCAGAAGACAGATAAAATTTCATTATTTTAAGAATTTTGAACATTATTACCAGTGAAGATTTCAGCTATCACCAATTAAGTGTATCATAAATAACTTTATACCCCAAGTACAAGAGATAAAATTGTTTATATTCCATGTTGTACTTAAAACTCTGGTGCCATAGTGCTTCTTGCTTTTTATATTTTTGCCCTGTAATCTATTGCCAGATAAAAGCTATCTCTATAAAATGGTAATTATTCAAAATTCAGTCTCTAACCTTTGGCAATAAGTTAAAGAAAACACGGCCAATAAGTTAAGGATGTTGTAGCTTGAAAGACATCTTTGGAAACACCAATATTCAAGTAACAGAGGAAGGGGAATGTAAAGAAGCTGTGCCAGAGATAGTTTGTAGTGCCAAGAGAAGTAAATAAACGGAGCTATAGTACAACAGGAAGAGAAGTGTATAACAAAGGAGGCAAGAGTCTTAAACACTACAGAAGTGGCACACACTGAGTTGGTAAGTGGCAATGATATCATCTGACTTTCTCAATCATGATTTCATTTTTCTTGATTCTTGTCACTCTAAATGGCAAACAACCCTCTCTACCCAGTTCAGAAAATATCACTAGTTTTGATTATATATATATATATATATATATATATATATATATAATGAAAAGACAAGTAATTAAGGCAATATAAAATATTCATCAGTTAGGGGAAACACAGTATTTAAAACTTTATTTTTATCCTTTATAAGCCACTCCTGGATCAATTAAATGGCTTTCTGGACTTATGGGATAAAAGTATTAGTATTTTGTTTTAAAGTTCTCCAAAGCATGCAGCCATGTTTGAAAGTATCAGAATAATTCTGCTTAAACTAGATAACGCCAGGCACAATATTGTGAGCAAGTATGCTTCTTCATCTAGAATTTCTTTAAGGTGTGTTTGTAAATTCGTGCTGGTATATACAGTGGAGGTTTAAAACTTTATTGCATGTTAATATGCACTGCCTAAAATTCTTTAGTGCAAAAAATAAAGTTAAGGAAAGAAAAACATGTAACTCAGATAATGCTTTTCATCGTTGATGATGATAACTAGTTTTGTATAATATGAGTACTGAAGTCTAAAGTGAATGTGGGCACTCTGCCTTTGGCAACCTTTCATTCCTATTTGCATTATATTAAGGCCAAACACATCCGAGGCGATGTGAGGGAAATGCAAAATGTAGTGGAGTTCCAGACCCGCTCACCTAAGTAGTAGCGAATATTTAAACGTTTGGATTTCTAAGGCAGCGCTTAGCAGTTATTATTCTGCAGCCTAAGCCGCCTGCTCTGCAGACTCCAGGCTGGGACGGGTAAGGCTGGGGCGGCTCCGCGTGCTGGGTGAGCAGGGCCGTGAGGCGCCCGGGAGTTTCCTTCCTCCGCCGGAGGCCCGCGTTCTCGGGCAGTACTTGCGTTGGCGGTCGGCGCGGTGACCTCGTCTCAGGCGGAACGGGACAAGGGCGATGAGGGGAGCCCTTCCTTCTTCGCGTGCCAGGACCGCAGCTCCCGGGACCCACACACTCACTCCAGGCGCGCCAGGCGGGGGCGCCTGGAATCTGCGTCATCAGGAGGGCGGGGCTGTCGCAGACGTCATCAACCCGGCACTTGCCAACATGGAAGGCGGAGAGAGTGCTGTTCCCGTGGCAGGCCGTGGGGCTAAAACGTCCAACACTGAAGACTGTATGTTAAATTCTAGAGTGAATATATACTAACTAAAGGATTCAAGGAGTCTGGCAACCCCTGCGCGGGGCCGGGGGCCCCCAGCCGCCGCTTTGCACAAAGTTTTCTGTCTGGACGTGGCCACTCCCCTCCGCCCGGCCCACCGGCGTCCGGGATCGGCCTGGCCCTGCGTTTCCCCGGGGTGTCTGCGGGGCACCAGGTTTTAATTGCCCCGGCCTGAACTCGGTCCTGACGCGACCAGACCCTGCACGCTGTGGTCCGGGCTGACAGCTGCCCAGTCCTGACTGGAATGTGAGCCCGCCCTAGGCGACACACCGCCGCTAGAGAAAAAAGGGTTTGGGGCTGTGCAGGTGCCTCCTAAGTGCGCTCTCCGCGCGAGTCGAATACTGAAGTCAGATTATTGGTAGTTTGGAGAGGAATTGTCCCAAGTAAGTTAACTGTGTGACTTTCTGTAGTAGCCTTGAAAAATTCAGTTGTATTAATGCTCCGTCTGAGAGGGAGAACAAAATCCACCTCCCTCCATTCTATCATGTATTAAGCATTTGCATTAATCACTTTAATTGCTTCCGAGGTGTCGGGGACCCCAGCCCCCCTTTTGAGACTGGGTCTTTCCACCTAGCCCTGCTGTCCTGTGGAACTCACAATGTAGATCCGTCAGGCCTGGAACTCAGAGAAATACGCCTGCCTCTGCCTCCCTAGTGCAAAGTATCAAAGGCATAGGCTGCCACGAAAACCGCCGAAAAACCTCTTTTTATATCCCACAGAGGTGCAAACATTAGGTTCAGAATCTCTTTTAATTGAACATCACTCTGAGCGTGGCTTATAAAGAATCGAAATAAAGTTTTAAATTACTGGGTTTCCTCTGACTGTTGAATATTTTGTATATTGCCTTAGTTATCTTTTCGTGATATATATTTTGTCAAAACTAGTCGTGTTTTCTGAACTAGTTTGTTGTGGATCCTTTAGAGTTTCTGCCTTTTCCACCTCATCTTTGTGTCTTAATTGAAATTCAAATTGAACCAAGTTTTGAACTCCTGAAGCATATATAAAGTTTCCACTCTCAAATACTTTACCATGTATAAAGATAGCTCCTGTAACAGTGTTGGCAGAGCACAGCATGATTGTGAACACAGCCAAACAACAATACAGAGGATGATAGCAGAGGGTTAGAGTTTGGTTAGGGAGTGTAAATAATGCTTTTCCAGGTGTTAGTTTTGAAGTGGAAGTGCCCCAGTTTATATCCCTTAATAACACATTCTAAACAATGAGTATTTGTTTCACTAGGACTCATTGCAGGAATTGTAATTAGGTTTTGGATAGTAAATAGTTAATATGCAGCCTATATTTTCCTACTTACAAAAATTCTCTTTGTCATTCTCGAGAATGATTATTTAAATCTATATTACTCTTTAAAATCTCTTTAAAAGAAGTTTCAAACCCCTGGGATTTGTCAGTGTGAGCCTTATTTTGTAATTGTTTTTGCCTTCTTCAGTTTCAAATACAGCAGTGTGGACAGCCCTCCCTTTGTGCTCTTGATATTTTCCTGTGTAAAGACCAGACACTTCCACTCTATGACATTAAAATCATGTTGCCAAGATCCTCACTGGTTCCTGGGAGATAAATCAGAACTTTCGGTTTTCATCCCATTTCAATTTGTAAAGGGTTGGCTCCTTTCTTGAAGTAACTCTCTTAATATAGGATAGGATTTTTTTCCCTCCAAAATCTGTAGGTGCTTTTCTCAACTTTCCACAAATATACCTGAAAGATTGAACATTTTGTTCAGTAACTGATTCACTGTGTTCTTTGTGTTGAGGATTTGCCTGAGGATAGGATTAATAAGCTTGGTGAATAATAGATGCATAGTTGTAAAATTTGTGAGCAGTTTCTGATTTGCCTCTGATAAGGTCATGAAAGAGAAAAATTATGTGATTTATTTCAGAATACCAATCATCAAATAATCTAATAGCCACATTTCATCTTTTTTTTTTTTTAATTTTTCAAGATAGGGTTTTTCCGTGTAACATTCCTTCATGTCCAAGAACTTTGTAGACCAGGCTGGCCACGAACTCACGGAGATCCACCAGCCTCTGCCTCCCAAGTGCTGGGATTAAAGGTGTGCGCCACCACCGCCACTACCTGGCCCATGTTCATCTTTTATTGTGTCATCTTTGGGAGATTATAGTTACAGTTGAACACTTCCTTTAAACTGTTATTTCTTTTTATTTAGTCATTCTTTCTGACTCCCCTCCCCCCAAGCAGTCTTTAGTATTTTCTTTAGGTTTTGGTGTCTTCCTGGGTTCTAAACCCTATATTGTCTGTTTCTGTTTACTTTTTCTTTTTCATTCTAAAATTTGTTTCTAAATCGTCTAATCTCTCTTTGGGGCAATTTGACAGGAACTAGAGTAAGCTGGGAAGGGAGAACCTCAATTGAGGAATTGCCTTCATTTGATAGGCCTATGGACATATCTATGTATGAGACATTTCTTTCTTTCTAAACATTATTTATTGTTTCTTTGAGAATTTAATATCATGCTGCTCACCTCTTAGTCCCCACCAAATCCTCCCCTCATTCCTGTATCACCCTACCCATGAAAATTTAAAAAATCAAAACAAAGCAAGCAAACAAATACAAACAATAACAAAACAAAATAGACCTCTTTGCTTCTCCCATCTTTTCTGCTTCTCTGAGACCTCTTCATTGGTCCAAGCAGCTTTACTACCAAATAATGTGGGAAATTACCAATACAGAGCCAGGTAAAAATACAAGGGAATTTAATAGGGAAAAGCCTTACTTACAGAGTGACCTAGTCAGCCAGTGAGCAGCAGTGTCTTGTAGCCCGGCCGGTCTCGGTTCCAAGCCACAACAGCCATGAGGTTCAGCCTGATTGGGGGAGCGTGGACTTGGAAACGCATGGTGACGGGACCAGCTGCCCCTTTCGGCAGCCATGACAGTAACGTGCTTGCCATGACCTTGTCCTAGTCATTAGAAGTCAGATGCCTGCCTTGTGGCAAGGGACCAATCAGAAGTTAGCTGGTGGCGCTATGCTTTATGGCTCTGAGTGTGCTTTATGGACAACTGCACAGCAATGACACACAGAGCATAGCAACCACCCTGGGAAGGCCTATGGGCCATAACAACCAATTGGCCAATCAACACAGGCCAAACCTCCAAGCCTGGAGGCACACCAGTCCTGAGCCTGTGCGTACCCCTAGACACTCCCCTTACGATGCCCTACAAGATCTCTTGACAGCCTGTTAGAGCTGTCTTTGCTAGCCATCCGCCATGGCTGGTGGGTGAAAGACCCGAGCTAACATGGGGTTAGATCGTTAAACAATAAAGCCTCATCAAGCTCTCGAATCTGCCTGGTGATTGGGGTGACTGAAGTCCTGGGCTGGGACCCTGGAGGCCTGAGTGTTCCGGGAGTCTAACACTAGCAACCCAGCTGCAATAAAGACGAAACACAGGCATCTTGTCACTTTAGAGAGCCCTCCCTTCCATGCTGTAAAACTAGAGTCTCTTGTTTATTTAGCATTTTCTTGGCTGTTTCTTAACCATGCTTCTATGGCCACGAGGAGGCCATTTCTCTCATTCCATTGACTCCTCTCCCCTAGATGGCTCCTAACTTTCCTCACTTGTTACTTACACACCTAGCACCTCCACCCAGGTGCAGGCCTGTTCAGATGCTTAGGCCCATAGAGATGCAAACTAGGAGGCATTCTATAATGAGGCTATGGTAAACAATAGTAGACCTGCTGGCATTAGCAATACAATAGTGGGCCGGAGCTTTTGTGTGCTCCTGTTTCCTGAAGCTAGAGACTGGACCTTAAGGCCTTCCATAATGGAACTTTTCTATAGTCCCCGACAAGTAAGTACAGCAAGCCGAAGATGAAAGTGAAAACGGGCCACCACATAAGCGTCCCTCCCTCTTCAACCTCCCTACTTCACCCTGACCACGCCTCCCAGGCACACCTGTAGCCAGCCCCTAAGCAGGCGTGGCTACAGCATCCCTTACAATTCCCCCTTTAGTCTAAAAGAGGATTAAAACTTAACAGTGTAAAGTATCCAAAATTAACAATTATAAAAGTGAAATATAAGAAGATATAACAATCTGCTTATGTCCCATCCTAACTATTTTAACTAAACCCTAAAGTCGTCTGAAAGAGGTGTCCAAGTCTGAACACCTCCTTCTAATCCCAACCATAAACTATAGGAAGCTATCCCTAACCAGGTATATACACTATCATAAGTGACAACAATGGGGAAAGGGAGCGTAGCATCCTCCAAGTTACTTCCTGCTGAAATGGGACAACGACAGCCTTGTGGGGTCCTGTAGGAAGAAAATGTTAGTGTGGTGAACGTCTTGAATGGATTGTATCCAGTCCATGTTAGAGGGGATTCACTTGATTGAAGATCTTGCTTGAAATCTTCAACTTGATTGAAGTAAGTACCGAAGCTCTAGCCAGAGTGTCCGTTGAAATGGAGCAAGTTGGATCCAGTGCAGTCGAGGATGTGTGGCCCATTTTCTTTCCAGGGAGTCCAGGGATTGCTGTCAGGCAGGTCTTCATTAACTGTGTGGGACTCAAACATAAATGTTAACAGAGAAATGTTTGCATGTGTAAGTATGTATACTAGAAAAGGCAACCATGGGAGCATAACAATTATGAGAGGGTGTACACCTTGAAGGAAAGAACCATGAAAAGACGAAGACAGTCCTCAAATTCTTCTCTTATTCTGTATTACATCAATTGGCTTCTTGATACAATACAGAAACTAAAGTTTAGTTAAACCACATGCTTGGATTTTAGAGGAGGAAAGCCAAATCCACCTCTAAATCCAGCATTGGTTTAATTGAATAGGGACTAGGAAATA